AAAAGGAGATTATGTCACTGCTGACTGGAACACTCAAAAATGAAAATTACCTAATAAATTAGATAGTTAAACAAAAATAATAATGACAATAACAATGTCATATATTTCAATATGATCATTAGAGATGTTCAGATATCAAGAAAAAAATACTTTTAAAAGAATCATATTCATATACTAAACTTCTTTTCATTCTTTCTCTTTTAAATTATATGAGAAATACATGTATAGTGGAAAAACACAAGAAATTTCAGAAAAGCCAGAAGGATACAGAAAAAAAATTATACTTAGAATCTCACTCCTCAGAAATAAACCTTGCACTATATTTTGGGTTATAGTACAGACCTTTTCTTCTGCAAATAATACACACATTTAAAAAATTCAACACCGTAGATCACATTAAAGATTTCCTCTAACCCAGTGGTTTTCAACCAGAGGCAATTTTGTCCTCCTTCCCACAGAGACATTTAGAAATGTCCAGAGCCATTCTTGGTTGTCACAAATTCAGGGGTGGAGAGGAGGTGAGCTACTGGCACCTCTTGGGTAGAAGCCAGGAATGCTGCCAAATATCCTGCAATGTACATGACAGCCCCCAACAAAGAGAATTATCTGGCCCAAAATGTCAATAGTGCTGAGGTGAGAAGAAACTCTGCTCTAATCCAATCCAGAACTAAAATCTTACTAATTAGAGTCTACTCTGTGCTGTGATTACTGAACACCTGCTAGGAGTGTGTATATTCAAAGATAAATAGGACCCTGGTTCTAGAGTAATGGGGATGACATTCCAACCAACTGAGCTACTGGCCCTTATCTGCGGGTTGCAGATAAGCAAATAAACCTAAAAGTGTGAACTTTTTACTTGTATTTCTTTTGAGGCAATGAGCTCTTTGAGTGGCTTAAGTCACTCAGCACCTGAAACTTGCATTTTATGGTTTATGAAAAGAATCAAAATTAGTGCTAGTCTGAAAAAGAGAGCCACCCAAGGGTAGCAAGCACCTAAGACACCCTATTTAAGGATCAGCTTGACCTTCATTCTGGCACCCCCCCCAGCTGACCTGCAGGCCCCCAACTCTCAGGTATAGAGTCACAGGCAAAAAGATGAAGTCAACATAATAATATCGTTACACATCACACCATTTCTATAAAATTCAAAATGTCTTTTTGCCTTGACTCCTAAAATTAAAAAAAATAATAATAACAACGAAACTTGTGGCCTGCCTAGAAAAACGTATGTAAAAACAACAACAACAGTAGCTTCTGACACTTGTTATGGATTCCCAATCAGGAGTCAGGTACTGTGCTATTTTACACCCACAGTTTTATTCAATTCTCACAACTTCAGACTGACCTCATGACCAATCCCAATTTTCAGACAAGCAAACTGAGGTTTGTGGTGGGAGTGAAATAGCTTGGCCCATACATGTGGTCATAGATGGCAGAAAGTGGAGGCCATTGCCATCAAGGCAGAGAAGGTCAGCCTGCATTGTGGGGCCATCCGACTGGCTGGTGCAGCCTGTGGAGCCTGTCTTCTGGGTCCAGCATCATGCCCCAAGGAAAAAGGGCACTTCCCTCTTCTTTCCACTTAAATTTTGTAGACATTGTTTTTTTATGTCTTGCAAATACTTCACATTCCCTTTTTCTCCTTGGTACCTGCTTTTTCTGTGCCTGCAGAGACATCATAACAGAGTAGGCTGGTCCCTCCGTAAATTCATAATCACCAAGTTCAAGAAGGCCTTCAGCACTGCCCAACAGCCCACGACACTCTTGGACTCATTTGCTTCTCCACTTTCTGTGCACACAGTTTCAAATCTCCACTTCCTTAACCCCTCCCTTTAGGTTCCCCAACCGTCCCTGAACCTTCCCATCAGATGATCTGGCTGCCCACTCTACAGAAAAAATAGAAGCCACACACTGGAATGTCTTAGTCTTCCCCAAACTGAGCCTGTTTACAGAAGCTGTCTCTCCTCCCACCTGAGGCTAATCCCATCTTGTTGAGCCTTCTCAGATACTGTGACTTCAATGATCCCTTGTCCCCTGTGAATTCAATTTGCTTCACCAGGATTACTCTACTGGCTCTGGAACACTCTCAAGGGCTTCTCATTTAAAAAATAAACAAACACATAAAACAACTTGGAAGATGTCTGGTCTGCCTCCAGTTCTCACTCTATCTCCCTCCTGAGCTTCTCAGCCAACCTTCCTGAATAAGTAGCCTTACATGCTGCCTTCATTTCTACCCCTCCCACTCACTCCTCAGCCCCTCGAACCTCACCATTGACTCCACCACAGTTTTCACTAGTGTCTTCAATGCCTCAACATCATTCAATCCAAGATAATTTATTTTCATTCCCACATATGTTTTTCAGGCTTTATTTTTCTTGACCTGTCAGCATATTCAGTGCTGGGACCTCTCCTTCCTTCTTAACATAATCTTTTCTTTAGACACTATGACACACTGATCTTGCCTCTCCTTGCACCCTCCTGAGCAGACTTTCCTTCCTCTATCTCTTTAGGACTCATCGTCCCCTCTGAACCAGCTGTTGAGTGTTTGAATTCCTCAAGACTTGGTTCTAGGCTTTTCTGGAACACCCTTTGTCCTCTGCATCTTCTCCCTAAGTGATTAGGTCCAGACCCAGGAGTTCAATTACCACCTTTGTGCACACTACTCACAAAAGTGAATCTCCAGCCCAAACTTTACTTCTGGGCTCTTAGACCCATATATCTGCTACTTGATGTTTCCTCTTTGTTTTCTCTAAGGCCTCTCAAAACTCCATATTCTAAAACATCATATTTTCATGTTGCCTCTACTGTCCTCAAATCCCAAATTTGGTCCTTTCCAAGTTTCCTAATTTTAGTGAAAGTCCCCACTACCTCTTCCATTGCCCAAGTCCCCAAGCTGTCCTTTTTTTGTTTTCAAAGATTTTATTTATTTACTTTTAGAGAGAGGGGAAGGGAGGGAGAAAGAGAGGGAGAGAAACATTGATGGGCTGCCTCTCACATGCCCCTAGCTGGGCTCCTGGCTGAAACCCAAGCATGTGCCCAGACCAGGAATTGAACCAAGAACCTTTTAGTTTCACAGGCCCATGCTCAATTGACAGAGCCACACCAGCCAGGGCCCAAGTTGTCCTTAATACCCTGTCTCTCATTCCCAGTAGCCAAGTCTTGTGGATATTTACCTCTTGAATACATCTAGAATATATTCCCTTCATCTCTTCCATACCACTGTACAACTTTGAGTCATTATCATCTCCACCTGGAAATTTCAATAGTTTTCCAACTGATCAACTTGTATCTTCTCTGCCCAGTAACCTATACCCCATTCTTCCTACTAAAAACTCATCAATGCCTTGCCACTGTGCTCAGAACAAAGACCAGACTCTACTTCTCTAGGCTCATCTTGAACCATGCTGTCCTCACAAATATCCACTGTCTCTACTCAAGCTACACTGACTCTCTGTTAGTTCCTGACACTCTCTACTGTTCCGCCCTCCCAAAGGTTTGTGCATCTGCCTGCGCGGACGTGTTCCTTCTTCCCTCCCTCTGCCACATCGCTTTCTGTCCACCTCTTAAGTCTTAGCTCAAATATCCCTTCTTCAGCAACTTCATCTAACTTCCTCGATTACATCAAATCTTCTTATACGAAATAAAAGCTTCATATAATTCTTCTTTACAGCACTTGCCACAGGTACAAGTTGATATTTTGAAAATATGGTCATTTGATTAATCTGTCTTCCCAGTTAGAATGTGGCATAATATTCAGTGAAGGTAGGAACTGTTCCTGGTTTTGGTAAACAAGGTCCTCCAATGTTTAACAGTGATTGTTAAGCAATACAGTATCTATAAAAGGGTTTTTATTTTATTTTTATGTTCACCCAAGGACAATTTTTGTCATTGCTTTTACAGAGAGAGGAATGGGGAAGAGAGAAAGATGGAGAGAAACATCGATCAGCTGCATTCTGTATGCACCCCAACTGGGGGTATTGAACCCCCCAACCCAGGCATGCCCCCTGACTAGGAATTGCATCCACAACCTTTTGGTTTATGGGATGATGCTCCAACTAATTAAGCCACACTGGCCAAGGCTATAAATATTTATTAAATAAATGAATTAGTGAGTTCTAATACTTGTGGTCTTAACCATAATACAAATAGAGATCTAAGTTTTTCAGTTAAATCACAGAACAGTGAATGCTTTTATCTTACTTCCAATGACCAGGATTTTCCAGAGCTTGTTAATTAACAACATGCTTTTGTATTTCTTTCCTTTGATATAGCCACAGTTTGGGTGACTGTTTGAAACTTATAGTGCTGGATACACAGTAATTGCTCTATAAAATGTTTATTGAATGGCTAATCTTAGAGTAGAATGATCCTTTATTAGGTTTGTTATTTTGTAATTTACTGTCATTGAGCAAAAGTTGGGTGTTTTCTCAAGAGCACTAGTAAAGGATAACTGCTTTTCTTTTTAGGTGGTACTTGGAGTAGGGAAGATTTTGAATGTGTTTGGAATATAAGTGCTCTGATGACTGCTTTAGGAGAAATTCCTGTAAGAATGCAGTAAAAGAACATGAATATTGACACATGGCACAAGTTCTCTAAAGCAGAGTGAGAGCACTTTGCCAGTGTGTTACCTTTGATGAAAACACACACATCTGTCACCTGAGTCTGTGTCCATGCTCTGAGCACAGATAAATGTGGTGGGGGTGGCCAGCCATCTCTCCTTTTGCCTCAAACTAGCCCTCAGGAAAGTGTTTCTCATGCAGATTTAAAGACAGGTTGGAGACCACAATCTTCTCTGCTGCCAAACTACTTATAAGGACTCCTTATCAGGACTCCACCATGCTACCTTCATGGCGAATGACCAAACATTAGTGCTGGGGTTGGTTAGCCATGTATAAGCTGTGTGGCCCTGGGAAAGTTATCTATACTCTGTGTACTGTATTTTCTTCATAATCATTCAGAATAACAACACTTAGAGTGTTGTGGGGAATGAGTGAGAGAAGTACCTGCTGGAGCCTGGCACGTAGTGATCACTCCTCTATTTCGAGTAGTCTTCTTTCCATTTTTAAGTGGTTCATCAGATGAGTGATCTTGCCCTGAAAGATCACAGAATTGGCTTTACTTCCAATTGCTTAAATATTTTATTTTACAGTTTGCCTTGACAACAGATTTCCCCCAAGTTGAACTTACAGCTCCCAGAAGACTTAGTAAGGGTCTTAATAAGCCCCCAGAGCACCAGCTGGCCCACAACAGATCTAGCTGCTAGCCACGCTGCAGCTTGGTGAGCTCAGCATCCTTCCTTTATCCATTATCCTGATTATTTCTTGGGAAAGGTGAGAGCAAACACAACAATAGAAACTTTTCAACTTGTTTTATTAAAGTAGTCTCAGAAAAATAATTATGCACAATAACCCCAATTGATAATTGCACAGAACACTTATGTAATTCTATGTTCTGTATTTGTTTTTTTTAAGATTTTATTTATTTATTTTTAGAGAGGGAAGGGAGGGACATAGAGAGAGAGAGAGAGAAACATCAATGTGCAGTTGCTGGGAGCTGTGGTCTGCAACCCAGGTATGTGGCCTGACTGGGAATCGAACCTGTGACACTTTGGTTCTCAGCCCGTGCTCAATCCACTGAGCTACACCAGCCAGGGCTTGTATTTGTTAATAAAAGATTTTTAATCAGTCAAGATGTTAGCTAGCAAAACACTGTCCAAAAGCATAGGTAATGGTTCAGGAACACAGTGAATATAGTATTGTGAATGCTAAAAATAATTATCCACAGTGCTCATGCCATTAAATTTGGTAAAATAATTATTAAGAGACCAAACTTTAAATGTTCATTACAACTCTGGCCAGGTGGCTCAGTTGGTTGGAGCATCATCCCATACACCAAAAGGTTGTGGGTTCTATCCCTGTTCAGGGCACATACCTAGCCTGCAGGTTCAGTCCCTGGTCAGGGCTCCTACAGGAGGCAACCAATGGGTGTTTTTCTCTCATATCAATGTCTCTCTCTCTCTCCTCTTCCCATCCCCAACCTTCCTCACTAAAATCAATAAACATATCCTCAGGTGAGGAAAAAAAAAAGATCATTACAAAGTGCCCAGATGGGTCGTTATTTAATAAATGCTATAGAAAGTGACAAAATATTTGGAGGGCAAAACAAGGGCTCCAGGTTAATTCTGTTTTCTTTTCCTCCAAATAAAGAACTTTGCATGCTCTAACTTCTCACCAAATCCTATTTTCCCCACATACTTCCCCAAGTTTGTCAGAGAAATTCTTTAGAAACATAATATCTTAGTTAATCTAGTCTGAGGCTTTTCCTTTAGGTAGAAACTGTAAAAACTAGTTAGTCTCACCACTCTGAAAAGCAATTAACCTTGTCATCTTCAAAAGGATAAAAATATTAATAATATCACTGTGCGATTTTTACAATTTAAGAGAAAAGTTCCTCAGTCATTATAAATGGTGATATTCTCTATTATTAATGCTTGTGCACATTAATTTCTAAAGTATCTAATTTTAAGCAACTCAATAAAATGAATGCCTAATATTTTCCAAAATGCAAATGTAATCTCACTCCAGCGCACAATAGCACTCATATTTGTTATTTGAACAAGAGCCATGTTGTCCCCCAGTAGTTCCAGGGCTTGCTGCTGTGAGGTGTACAACTTCTGGTTTTTAATGGATTGTTTTTTTTTCTCTTTGTGTACTGGGTTTGAAATGAGCTCTGGAGAGAGGGAGAGAAAGTAAAGATTTTTTTTTCTCCCCGTAGGTGATCTACTCATAAAGGGGGAAAATTTAAAAGCAAATTTTGTTGTGGAACACATATTGACTTGCTTGTAAATTCTCAATATGCTACTTAAAGAATCATGGTCATGTGACACCAACACAGTCAGTAGCCTATTATGTCTGTGCTGTGATACTTGTTTTCATCCTGCCTCAGGTCTCAGGTGGAAGCAGATGTGAAAGCTGGTGATGGTAGCTACTTCGGGCTCAGGGTCTGGCTGTGAGACTCCTGATTTTGATCTGGGCAGTCTGTCTTGCCTGCCACATAACAAAGGTGTCCTTTGTGGAACTCCTGTGCTCATATTCTTGTTGCATCTTCAGTATGTACCAGTCAACATAATGTATAGCTCCAACCTAATTTGGTTGTCAGTGTACAAGAATTCTGATTAAAATCTTACTGGCCCTTGAGCAGTGAGATGCCATTGAGACCATCACAATCTGCATTATATCTTTAAGAACTGTGTAGAAATTCTTGTATATTTTCCTGGTAGGATGGATTTAGTGGATGAATGCAGCTGTTTCTTGAAAATCTCAGTAGTGGATTTAATTTATTCTTAAATTTTGAGGAGACACTGACCCTTGTCTTGAGAGCAGTGCACCTCCCTGTACAGTAGTCCTCACCTTATCCAGGTTTCAGTTACTCCAGGTTAATATCAGTTTGAAAATATTAAATGGAAAATTACAGAAATAAACGACTTACAAGTTTTAAATGGCATGCCATTCTGAGTACCATGATGAAATATCACACCATCCTGCTCTGTCCTTCCCAGGGTGGGACTCATCCCTTTGTGCTGCATCTCCCTGCTGCGCATACTCTGACCATCAGTCACTTAGCAGCCATCTAAGTTATCAGATCAAGTGTCTCCATACTGGTGCGCAGTGCTTGTGTTCAGGTCACCCTATTTTACTTAATAATAAACCAGAAGGTGAAAGAGCAGTGACAATGGCAATTTGGATATGCAAAAGAGAAGCTGTAAAGTGCTTCCTTTGAGTGAAAAGGTGAGTACAACACAATAAGGTAATTTTGAAAGGGAGACTACATTCCTATAACTTTTGTTGCGGTATAGTGTTATAATTGTTCTATTTTATTATCATATTAGTTATCTCTTACTGTGCCTAATTTGTAAATTAAACTACATCATAGGTATGTATATATAGAAAAAAACATAGTATGTATAGGGTTTGGTACTATCTGCAGTTTCAGGCATCCACTGGAGGTTTTGGAAAGTATCCCCCACGGATACGAGGGGACTGCTGTATTTTGCCAGGAGTCTAAAAGGACCAGTACCTCTGCTTATGAAAAGTGTCCCCAGTGGTGCCACACAATGGCTTTCTCTGTATTACATTAAAATTCCTGGCTTTGAGGATAAGTGTTAATACTATGGACAATTAAAAGTGGCAGTTGTGGCTGTGGGAGCAGTTAGTGCAGAAATACCAAAGGGTCTTGCAATATTTCCAATCAGTGAGCTGCTCTGTCTCGTTAAACACTGAGGGTATATATTTGGCCACTGAGCTCAGCACTTGATTGAAAATGGGCTTCCCTCCTGGCTTTTCAAATGCCATACTGTTCAATTATAAAATGTCTATTTTGGAGTCTTTTGGAAAGCAATCAGAGGTAGTTCCAATGCTTACTAAGAACTTAGAGAAACACTTATCAATGACTGAAAAATCTAAGTAAATTTCATAAACATTTTTTCTTTGATATTTTGTTTTAAAAATTATGAATATAGACAGATACTGAGAGCATGATATAGATCAGCAATTCCTATTAAGTGGCACTATCACATCAATCAGTAGAATTTAAAATGGTTTTAAATAATGTCTCAGAAGTTTAGGAAGTCTGTGGAGTGCTTTCTGAATCATAAAGCAATAAAATATGTTCAGCATATTTTCAGGATCAAATTAATTGCAATATATAGAATATGGTAGTTGACATATAGCTAATTTTCAATCAATGTATCAGATGACAATAAACATGAATGATGCCCACACCTTGCCAGATGATAGTCACAGTGAATAATAGTGCTTACTGCCTCTTGTGGGACAATAAACATCAATTTCCATGCATTTAAGCAAAAGGCAAAAAAAAAAAAAGGAAGTCAGATATCCTTGTTTGACCATTGCAACCCACTGAAAGGCCAGTGGGTTACAAAAGTCGTATGTATTTTTTCCACATTTAACCTTCTCAAGTAAAAAAGAATCTTAAGTTTTCCAAACAGCTGATTCTTTTCTTACTTTGCTAATAGTAGATAATTTTCTGTTTCAAGATTCATTGAGTAAGTAGGCTAATGGACATAAAGAATTCTGACATTGTTAGTTTTTGGAAAAAGAACAAATGAACAAACTGGAAAATGTACTGCAATGGCCTGAAATTGGGCTATGCAAATTCAGTGTCACAGATGGGCACACTGGATGGCTAGGCACACATTACAGTTCAGGGAATTCCATTAAAAAGTCTGTCCGCTTATACTCCTCACGACAAATTTAACATTTGGATGAACAAGTCTAGTGTCTGAACATGTGATTTTTATCCTGTCCTTGTTAATTATGTCTCCCTATTTATAAATGGTGTAAAGGGATTTCTTATATACTTCCAGCTAGTGTTAGCTCTTCAACATACACTATGTTGAGACAGTTCAGATGATCTGTAATTTATTTATGTCTATTAGTTTAAAAGAACTGCCTGCATAGCTGAAATATAAATTTGATAAGGCAATAAACACTCCATAGAGAAAGAGGCAAGGGACGTGGTTCCATAAATGCTACAAAAGTCATTCAGTACTGAATGTCTGCTGCAGAACTGGCACAAGGCCAGGCCCAAAGGGTGCAAAAATAAGCAAAGATTCCCAGCCTATGAGAAGTTCAAAGTCAAGCGGGCACATAAACGACATGTACAACAAGGGCAGATGGACTCAGTATTATGCGAGAAGTGACTAAGGGAGGAATCATGGCATGCAAATGCCACTGCAAAGTCTGGCTGACCAGCTCCACCTCTTTCTGTCCTTCACACATTTCTTGCCTGTCTGAAGGGGTGGGGAATGGCAAAGGCACTGCCTCATTTCTGACACTCCTCTTCAAGTCCCTGTTCTCTGCTGACCTTGGAGAGAAAGGCTCTCGGTGCTGTCCTATGTTTGCCCATTCTTAGCAACATCTTTTCATCTGAAGATTCTCAAAACTCCACCTTTATTGTATCATGTATCTTAGAGTGAGAGGTAATGGGCTGAGACACTTGACTCAGACTGCATCTTCAGGGTTTTTTTGGCAAACAGACTGGCTCACACATCACTGTTGCTCCAGCTCCTTCA